CTCTGAGCTCCATTGAGAAACTCCCATATGCGGCCCTAGAGAAAGAAATTCATATCGTTCTGGCCTTCGCCAGAGATTACGATGGTGGAGGAAAATACCAAACAGGAACCTTCTATCCTTATTTCGATACAAGCAAGTTGACTCCACAAGCAATCCAGAACATCAGGGACAAAGCCACGTCCACTCCGGTCAAGTTCTTCCTCAGCATCGGAGGCCGCAACCCCAAATTCCCATTTGCCGTCACTTCTGCTGCAGAAACCGCCTGGATCCAAGCCGCCACCAAAAGTCTCAGGGAAATCATCCAGAATTACCAGATCGATGGAATCGACGTCTATTACGAACACATCAACCCTGACGCGGAGCATCAGTTTGCCAGCTCAATTCAGAAAGTCATTGGGAGTCTGAAGAGGGGTCATACCATCACCACTGCTTCCATCACTGTGCCAGCTCCACTCAGCCAAAACTATCACGACCTGTATAAGAAAAACAACGCAGTTTTTGACTATGTGGTGTACCAATCCCACACTGAGACTTCTCCCATTTGCACTTTTGAAGCGCTCGGAGGCGTCTTCGACAGGCTGGTGTCCACTTATGGTTATCCCAAAAACAAGATCTTAGCTGGGCACAGTGACGTCCTCCCCGGCGACTGGACTACTGTCCCGCTGCCCATCTTCCTCGGTGCCGTTCCTCAGCTCCTCGGCAAGGGACTCTTCGGGATTTCCAAGTGGATCGTGACCCCCGAAGATTATAAACCCGAGGCTTGAGTGCTGCATGAGATCTGCGGCAAAGATTTCACCCTATTTCCTGCCCTACGTATATGTCTTTCTTTTGTGGTGCGTGTCGAGCTCCTGTTTGCTTTGGTTTGTCCGATATGTGTTTCGAGGTGTCAGCGTTCGTCTAGAATGCTAGCATCTTGGTATCTTTATGTTTTAAACCCATATATATGTACGAGTTTGGTCAATAAAATAAAAGTTGCTTTGCTTGTGATTAATATGGAGTTGTGATTGCTATCTGATTTTTCCTTTCTATCATCACTCTTGCCCCCGCCCTACGTACTAGGATCATCGACTGCTATATATATATATATATATATATATATATGCGCGCGCGTTCTTTTTCCTCCAACTGTATTATTATATTATTCCATGCCAACCCTTTTTCCCTCTTCCCAATTCCGACCAATTACGTAGAATGTCTTAATTAGTTGCAATGTATGTTTGATTGATAAAACTTTCGTGAGAAATAATAAAATAATGAGAAGAGATGATCTGACGGAGATTGGTATAAAAATAATAGTGACAAAGCAAAAGAGCTTGTCAATTCAGTTATAAAATGAGATCTCGGATTATTGATCTCTATTGTATTTCAAGAGCACTCAATTAAATCTTCAATATATTTGCTTCTTAATTTCTTCCTTTCGTTACGAACCCGTCTCAATTAAGAAAACCATCTCTGTTCTCAACTTGCAAATTGCCTTCAGGTCAGCTAGAAAACGAGCTCGATAAAATAAATTAAATATAGCACGGGCAGCAGGGAGAGCAATGGGTGGCAGCACAGAAAGAAAAACTTCTTGAAACATACTATACGTAAGTAAATTAAGCAGTGGAGGGAAAGCTTTTTATTAATTGTTGTTAATATAAGGAAACAATGAAGAACAAAGTTATTTACAGCAGTAAATGAAAACAAATGCAACCAATACAATCTAGAAATGACACAATAATATAAAATCATCCTTGCGTTGCGCCCAGCAGTACCGAACAAAGAAACGAACCATAACCTGATATAACAACTGCAAGATCTCTCCAGATATATATGAGGGGAATTATATACACTCCATGGACCTATTCGGGAATATCAAAACGGTCAATTTCCCTATATAAGTGTCATTTTATAAAACAAGTGTCCTTAATTGGGGGGGGCAAGGGTCAATTGCATCTAACGGAGTTAAAGGGAATGTTTACTTGGGGTGAAATTGCTCCAATTTTAATACATGGAGTGTAAAATTGTATCACTAAATAGTTTAGGATGTTGGATATACTTTTATCAGTATTTATTAAGGGGAAAAAAATGAATAACAAAATTACTTACAACAGTAAATTATGAAGATAAACGCAACCAATACAACCCAAAATTGACATAGTAACAACTGCAAGATCACTCTCTGATATAGATGGTGGGAATTATCCTCGAAAAACCCATTTGAGAATATTAAAATGCTCAATTCTCCCAAAAAAAAAAAACAAAACAGAAAAGATCAATGCTTTATTTTGAATGGAAAGTATCCAGCACCTACTTGTACAAGTTGCATGTATAATCAATGATACAACAAATGAGATGGTTCAAGCTGTCCAATTTATTTTGTCACTCCGAAAGTTACGAATTTTTTAAAAAAACAATTTGATTAAAATAGAATTGATCTTGAGAAATGCAGTTATAAAATTGCGCATAGCTTTGAACTAAATTTAAAAATGTTGTTTCTTTTCGCCCAATAAGAAGAAAAATAAGCTTTGTTTATACTGTAATACTCACTATTGCTAAGTTGTTTCGTGTCTAATATCATTTACCCCTTTTTGCTGATATTTTAGGCAGGATTCAAACTCAATTCAAATCAAAGATAGGGCGCTTGATCTAACTCTTCTTGAGTCATACTATATTAGGCAAGACAAACCTACATCATGTCTTCAAGTGTTTATATACACATCTCCAAATATGAGATTCCTCGCTAAGCCTAATGACGGGGAATCAAACTCTCTCCCTTATTGGGGGGAAGGTGCAGTTACTCCTGCTAATTTCATGGACTACGGATTATCATTCCCCATTTCAAAAGGGATAAAACTCAGGGAGATAGTTTTATGGACATTGTTGGGCCATCTTTTATGTCTCGGCTTTCAAATTGCACTGCTGTGCTTCAGATGCCATCATTGCTTGGACCGGTCTAATGTATTGGAAAGGGTTGCAATTTCTTGGACGATTCTGAAGGAACCATTCTGACATCCCTCCTTTTATCATGACAAAGCCCATCTTAAATCTCTTTTCTTGGGATGAATGCGTCAGTTTCAAGCCATTTCCTTTGCAATCTCTCTTTACATCCACTTTCTTCCGATTTCCAATTTACTATCGAGAGTTGACGTGTAAATCTAATTATAAAGCTTTTTTTTTGGGAGGTAAAACTACATTAAAATATAACTGATTGAGAAACGCAATTAAAGAGTCCCACATAGCTTTGAACTGAACTTAAAATATTGTTTCTTTTCTTCTAGTAAGTGTTGGTAACAATATACTCATTATTACCGAGGGTTTATGTATACATGTTTATTTTAAGTATTTATAAGCATGTTCATGTAAGGCAGGACAAAGCTCTCCTCATATATTTATTTCATATTATGAAAGAAAAATTCAAAAACTGCTTTTAAAAGATTTTTTTTTTTCATGTGGTATGTCATTCACCTCTTCAAACTTCAAAAGAATAAAACTCAAGGAGAGGGTTTTATGGTCAATGTTGGGCCATCTTTTAGGTTTCGACCTCCTAACTATACCGTTGGGCTTTAGAGGCCATCATTAGTTGGGCTGGTCAAATATATTCAAAAGGGTTGCAATTTCTTGGACTGAAGGGACCCTTCTGGCATCTATCTTTATCCCGAGAATGCACATCTCAAGCCTTTTTCTTCGGATCGAAGTGTTCCGATCCCCCTTTACATCCACTTTCTACCAATTTCTAACCACATCATCAAGGGTTAAGATGAAAATCTAATTATAAAATTTTTGGAGGTAAAACTATACAGATTTCAAAATGGTATAAAAATATCATGACCATTAAATCAACTAATATAAAAAAAATATTAAGTTATTAAAAATATAAAAATAAAATTATATTAAATTTGGACTAATCTAATTTTGATCTGGATGGTCTAAAGTTGATGCCTGTTGCCTGAATAATGAGCACTCAAACTCAATTCCGACGTGATTTGCTTGGGTGTGAAAAATATAAAAAATTGGGAAGAGATACTCTGTTTAGGGATTAGGATGTATATGTTCCCTCTTGTCCTTTGGGATGATTTCTTCTCTTACTCATTAATTCAACAATGTACTTTCCCTATATTTATTTATAAGTCATATTTGAGTAATTCATGGAAATTGAAAAAATAATTAAAATCAGGAAGAATGGATTATGTAACTCTTAAATTTTGATCTGCTTGCAGCGTAATTCTTGAGGGAGTAAATAAATTTCCAAACATATAATAAACAAGAGATTAAATGAATGAAACTCGATGGATTGAATTTGATAAGTTAAATTTGAGGAATCCGGTTTTGCGTAAACGAGTTGAAACTGTAGGAATTTGATGATTAATTGTTCCTCAAAAGTAACATCTCATCTCGTCTAACATACCATTGATTCCTTCTTATTGTTCTTAGTCACTCTCCCCACCTCAACTACTTATTTACTACCTTTAACCATTTTTTTTGTATAATTTGATTATTTGTTTGTTACGTAGACGACAAGGAGTGTTTAGGACTATCGAGAACGGGGCGAAGCTAATGGGGAAATAATGCAAAAAAGAAAATGTTACGTTTATCCATATGACAGCATCACATAAGAGAAGAAGAACCTGCAAATTAAAATGCATTTAACCATTTTCATTTAAATAATATTTTATTTGATTATCACACAGATAGATTAACATGCAGACATAAAGTTACTATCAGTGATTGGAACAGGTTGAGGTGGCAGATCATCAGTCATTTGATCATCCACTCATGATAAAATCATACAAGTAAACGGTCGTAAGCATATCAATAATCAATAACTTAATAGAATATAATTTATGGAGATGGAAAAATGAAACCAAAATGACGACATAATAATGACAAATTAGAAGCAATTCAGTGTCTATAAATACGAAGTTATGAGAGAGCACAAAATTCAAACCAAAAGCCGCGAAGGGAGTTGAGCCCCAAGTCACGCCAAAAGCCGATCGAGAAGAACCCGTAAACAAATCAAAATGGTGGTGGTGAATCTCCCGTTTCGGCTTTACGCCAGCACTTACAGCGAGTTTGAGTCCCTGGTTGGTGTGGACAAGAGCGTTCCATGCCACATCGCTTTGGCCTTCGCCAGAGACTACGACAGTCGCGGCAATCCCACGGCCGGAGAATTCCATCCCTATTTCAATATTACTGACATCACTCCCGATGATATCCTCAAATTCAAACAGACGAAGGAGCATGCCAAGTTCTTCTTGAGCATTGGAGGGTGGAGTGAGAAGTATCCCTTCAATCTTCCCACAGGCGAGTGGGTTCCTAGAGCCGTCGACTCCCTCAAAGAGATCATCCGAAGCTACCATTTCGACGGCGTCGATGTTTACTACCAACACATAGATGCCAGCCTAGATCCTAATCAGTTTGTGGAGGCCTGGCAGGAGACGACTAGGAGGCTGCAGGATGATATCCCCAGCCTGGAGGTGGCACGTCACTCACCGTGCCACCTCCTCTGGACGACTTGTACTACTGGCCCCTGTACCTGGCATGCGGTGACGGCATTGACTATGTGATTTACCAGACCCACTCTGTCTCAAGTCTCGTTCCCTCTGTCAAACAACTCGTGGAGAAATTCAAAGCTTTACGTTATCCGAGAGTTAAACTCTTTGCCGGCCATAGCATCCTGAAAGCCGACTGGCAACCCGTCCCGTTGCCCGTCTTTCTTGAGGCCATTCCCGCCCTCATCAGCGAAGGCCTCATTTCTGGCCTGTCCCAGTGGGCGGCCATCGGCGGCGGCGACCCTGTCAACTGTGACGACAACTGAGCTTCATTGCCCAGATCTGTGCCTGTACTTGCATGATGATGCATATATTACTACTAATTAAATATAAGTATCATCAGCACCCAGCGGTCCTGCTCCTGTATGTATTTGCATGTCTGCTCTTGCTGTTTTAATTATGTCCGGTGGTTGAGTTTGCGTCAGTTTCCTTCCGTCTGTGTCACCCATGTTGCTACTGTGTTGTTATTTGGTCGTCTCTTTATCAGTCGTTGCATTATAATAAAAGAATCCTATCCAGCTGTGATTATATTGTTACTCCTCCTCACGTGCGCGTGCGTGCGTGCTTTAATTTTTCCCTCACCTCGTCGCATGCATGCAGCTTTGTTATTCAAATAACAACAGCTCGAGCTCAGCTGCAAATTATAATAGATGGCACTTGTTAAGTCATCAGAAACCTTGACCGGTTATAAAGGAAATCGGTCTCAAAACTGCGATTGATCACTTCTTTTTGCAAATCGGCTGCGCTGGTCTTTCGAAGCTTAAGTGCTTGTATTTAGAAGAGATCGAAGGAAGAAATATGCTATTAAATACTATAGATATGCAGGAGGAGTGTATTATTCATTATCTTCCCCGTGCTTTGCCATCTTTGCAGGTGTCCTGATCTGATCCATCCCCAGCCATACTTTTATCTGGGAAAAAAAAATACATGTGTATATTTGTCTGATATCAACAGTTAAAAAACTAATTCTAGATTGCTCATACAAAACATAAACCGAATAATTGACCTAAACATCTCAAATGTATACATATTCAAACTCCAACAACAATTCTAATTAAGGATAACCGTAACAGATAACTAAAGTTTTCCAAACCAGGAAACCAAATTTCCATGTATAACTAAACACTAATTCCACAATTTATTTTAAAATGAAGTAAAAGCTTCGAGTTCAAGACACGCGACTCAAATCAACTTATATTTTACAAAAATCCTGGATTTTGTAGGTCAGCAATAATACGGCTTGCTCGAGTGGAGGTCTGGTGGTTCAGAGCATCACTTCTGTAGGATGAAGATGGCGGTGAGATTTTTCAGCCTTTGATTTTGTGTTTTCTTTGGAGCTTTAATTTGACTACTTGGTTCTTCTATTTTTTGCCCCTTTTGTTTGGTTCATTAATTGCGGGCTATTTAATTTTTTTTCTTTTACGACAAGACTTCTTTGTTTTTTTTTCTTTTTGAAATTTTTCGTTAGTTTTTGCCAGGGTTATAGTGTTTAAAAGTATATAAAAATCTTCCTACTTGTGGTTAGGGGTTAAAACAAACCAAGAAATTCGAGCTGGTCTGTTTCCTGATAGCAACAAATCTTTTATTTGATTCCGTTGATGGTCTGGGCTTCATGGGGTTTTCATTTTTCTAGTATGTACTTGTTTTCTGATATGGATGTTTAAATTTTGTTGATTTGTCACTTTTGTTTCAGTTACTTCCTGTTTTCTTCCTCCTTCCTGTTAATTGGTTTTTTCTGTTATTCATGGTGGTTTCTACAGTTTATATATAGTTCCCTTTGCTTAATATATATCAACAAAAGATTCATTATGACTCGATCCCCTCTTTCAAGTTTATGAAGATGGTATATCGATAATAGCTGATCCTCTGAAAACTTATCGGGATGAATCTAAGTTCAATCACTCTAGCTGTTAGGATTGCATACCAATAACAGTGCAGTTTCTCTAGCTAATTAAGAAAGATTTTTCCCCCATAAAGCTCATTATGTAAATACATAATTAGCTTTTGGAGGAAGAAGGGAGAGCGTGAGGAAGATTGAGTTGTGAAACTGCCCACCAACAATCTTAAAGTAATGAAAAAGAGATCGTTCTTACAGAGATTTTTGCACAAATATTAACAAGCAAAAGGCTCTTATATGTACGAGTCTGATCAATAAAATAGAAGTTGCTTTGCAAGTGATTATTATATGGAGTTGTGATTGTCGCATGATTTTCCTCTATAATCATTCTTGCCCCCGCCCCACGTAGTAGCTAGGATCATCGACGACTGCAATATATATATGTGTGTGTGTGTTCGTTTGTTGATAAACTCAGACCAATCAATGAAATATTGATTAATACATAATTGATCGAACACTACTTGAAAACGGCTATTCTGCTCAGAAATGAAATGTTCCAAATGTTCCTGGAAATTCTTGCTCCCATTGGACCATTAAGTATACTATCTCTGATCCTAATTATAAGATCTCGTTTGTAGTCTACACATGAAGTCTTATAAATAGGATCGGAGGTAGTATTATTTTAGTATTTCATGCCAACCCTTTTTCCCTCTTCCTAATTCCTACCAAGTACGTGTGTCGGATCTCACAATTTTTTTTGGGGGGGTGTACGGAGGATCTCATGATAGTCGTAATATATGCAGATAATCTTATTGCCACTCTGCGTTTTGTTTGCGTCGTTCTTATGAGCATTTAATTAGTTGCTATGTATGTGTGATTAATAAAACTATGCGGTTCGTGAGTAGTTAAAAAAATAATGAGAAGAGATGATCCAATGGAGATTGGTAATATTGACAAAGCAAAAGAGCTTGTCAATTCAATTAAATAAAACCATCTCCGTTGTCAACTTGCAAGTCGTCTCCAGGTCAGCTAGAAAACAAGCTTACTAGAAGAAATTAAATGAAGCACAGGCAGGGAGAGGAATGGGTAGCAGAACAGAAAGAAAAACTTCTTGAAACATATATATATTGTTGAGTTGGCGTAAACTGATGAGTTTAACTTGTTCCAGCGTAGTAGGAGCGAGGCAGCAGGCATGTTCAGCAAAATAATTATATGTGTTTGTGACAAGATCTTAAAAATAACATATATATATATATATATATATAGGCATGACGAGGTCAAATTTCATACAACCCTTTCAAAAGTTCCTTAACCAAAAGAAGCACGGAGGCGCAGACAGGCAAATGTTACGGAGAAAAAACCATGCACATACGAAGATAAATTAAGCAATGGAGGGAAAGCTTATTATTTGTTGTTTATAAAAGGAAACAATGAAGAACATAGTTATCTACAGCAGCAAATGAAAATAAATGCAATCAATACAACCTAGAATCCAGAAATGACACAATAATATAAAATCATCCTTGCGCTGCGCCCAGCAGTATCGAACAAAGAAATGAACCACAAACTGATATAACAACTGCGAGATCTCTCTGATATATATGGGGGCCGGGGAATTATATATGCTCCATGGTCCTCTTTGGGAATATCCAAATGCCCAATTTCCCCACCCAAAAAAAAAACAGAAAAAGAAAAATCAAAGCTTTGAATAAAAATATCCAGCATCTACTTGGACAAGTTGCGATGCGATGTAGAGAATAGGGATAGATGCGTAATCGAAGATACAACAAAGGAAGAAGCCCGATACCGAAAAATGAGATGCATGATATAAGAGGGGGTTTTACCGCATAGCTGCAACTACGAAGGAGTGAGGAGTCCCACATGGAGCAGGGAAAGAAGCGCAGAGCTGAGGGCAATTATAAAAGCCGGGCGCAGGGACATCTCAATTCATACCTTTCTCGGCCTTTTGGCTAAGATCAAGTGTAGTATCTGTTCTTATCAGTTTAATATCTGATACGTGGGCCATCGGCCCACATGATATTAAATTTATTTTTGCAGGGGAAGGGTCCACCACGGTAGCTTGCTACCGGGATCCTTGCGCGTCGCCCGCGCGTTGCACTACAGCACGGGCCTGGCGCACCCCACCAAGACCAAGTTTAAGGATTATAGCCTCATAGCCTAATTAATTTTGCTTCAAACATTAGCTTAACTACTGAATTACTAACTTTAGAGTGGGCCTCTCCATGTTCATCCAAAGCCTAGGTTTTAATTTAAAATTTTTCTCTTTTTCCAACAATTTAACATTTTTCTATAAATAATCTAGTATAGGATGAGTATTAGAGAGGAGGAGTCAGACCTAGTTATAACACGACTATACTGAAAGAAGCAACCTTATTTTTTTGGGCCTGAAAAGAAGCACCTTTATTCTGTGCACCAGTCTTGCTAACTAATGTGCATTAGGTTCCACGAAATCCTCAAATTTATTGAATAAAACTCGCAAGCTCCAATATTGAAATACAGAACGTTCATTAGTAGGAAGTGGCCTTGGTCAAGGAGGTGATGGTCACTGTGGGACCAAGCAAGGGCTTCCCAAGTTTTACCGTAAACGTGTCATAGCGTAGGAACAGTTCTACCAAGGTTACCCTAAGCATCAGCACCACTACATCCTTCCCCGCGCACTGCTTGTTCTCCTCCGTGGCCCCTTCTGTCTCCCTCCCGTTTGACCAATACACGTACTTCAACAGCTTTTCTCCTTCCCCGACGAACCTATGCCCCGCAAACTCCTCCGGATTCTTGAACACCCTTGGATCTTTTGTAACCAACGGCTGATATCCAAACACCATCTCACCTTTCTTTATCTGAAATGCTGCGTCGTGACTCCGCACCACCACATCCTCCTTTGCCTTGCCGTACTGAAACTGAACTGGTGGGTCAATCCTCAGTACTTCCCATACCACTGATTTCATCAACGGCATCTTATCCAAAGCTCCTAATGTCACCCCACCTTCTGCCTTCACCGCACTTCTTATCTCGTCCGCAAGTTCTTTATGTAGACCCTCCCCAGCTAATCCCACCCACTTCATCATACTGGGAATTACGATTTTGACACCACCATAAGTGTTAAATCCCAGAACGAATAGCAAGTTATTGCATGCTTCTTCTCTGCTTAGCCCGATACGCTCCGCATCGTCCAACACATCCAGGGCAGACGTGTAAATGGCGTCGTATAGCTTCTGGTGAAGCCACTTGAGCAAGAACGCCGGGAAAGGCACGGTATGGAGGAAGAAATCTTCGATTACGTTAATAGGAAAGAAGTACCAGGGTAGTCCGAGGGATCCGAGCGGTGCGACCTGAGGATATACCCAGAACTCGAAGTAAGTCGGGGCCCAGGATCCGAGTTTTGTTTGGTTCGGATCTTTTCCACAGTAGAGGCGGAACACGAAGTTAAAGAGCTCGTTATCGCTTACGGAGTTGAAATAAGCCTGCCTTTTAGCGAGGAGCTGGTCTTCAAGCTTCTGAAACATCTCCGACAAGTGGCTTCGGAGAAGCGGGATTGCCTGGTCTTTCTTGGAGGAGAGGAGGTAGAAGAAGAAGCGCTTGAGGAGGGTGTGTTTGGGCTCGGAGGGATCGAGGTAAGCGCAGACACGGTGGCCGCCCGTGAAGGTGGTGGAGGGCATGTAGGTTCCGGTGAAGACGTCGCGTTTCTCAACCTTGGATACGTCGAAGAGGACAGGGAAGCTGAGGGCGTCGAGGACGGCGACAACCCTAGGATTGGAGGCGACGAACGGACCAGGAGGCATGTTGGTTCGGAAGACGGTGGAGTTATACTTGCGGATTCTGGAGATGAAGAAATTGTCGCGGCCTTGGTTGTAGTAATAGTCGTAACGATCAAGAATGGGGCCGAAGAATGGGAGGCCGTAGCCGCCAGGGATTGGTCTGAGAGGGAGGTAGTCAGATTTGGAAGTATCGTCATCGACGACTGAAGGAGGAGATGACATTGTCACTTCTTCTTCTTCTTCTTGCGATCTTTTCGCAGGTGTGGCTGTAATCGAGGGGCCTGATTGGTGAATTATATAGTACAGTGAGATATTCAAAAACAAAATGGATTGATCTGGGGCTTCTGGTTCAGATGACATGTGTACGTAGTGTTGGAGCTGAGGTTTTTGGACGTGTCGTGAGGAAGAAGATGATGCATGGCTAGTGAGTAACGTGGCCTTTTTCGCAAACAGAAAACTTATCTCTATCTACAATATGTCCTTTTAGTCTAATTTATAATAAGAAGAGGAGGGTGCGTGTATATATATGACTTCTGATCTCTTCGCGTGACCCTGTCTTCTAACTCAATGGCTGTTTGGAAAATACCAAAATCAATTATAAAAAGTGTCCTTATGTAAGTCAAATTAAGACAAAACTTATCTCATATATTTATCTCAAACATTATAAAATTATTTTTGAAAAGTTAATTCAAACACCTCTTTAATCACTTCATAAATAATACTACATCGAATCATAAATATAAGATCTAGTTTGTAGTATAGTTGTATAATCTAATAAAATTTAGAGACATGTATGCAGGATATAAAGACGTGCTCTTCTACTGGTTTTTTTTTTTTGGGTTCAATCTCCTTTGGATTCTTAAGCATATTACGTAATTAACTAAATCATCTGAAACTGATATGTGTGTGTGTGTGGTTTGCTAGTAGGTAGTAACTAGTGGGAAAGAAAATGATAAAGGGGTGGGAGGAACATTTTATTTCTTTTACTTGCAATGAAAGTTTCTTTTTTTCTTCCTAAGTGAATTAATTCATTTGAATCAGTTGTATATGCAAACATTTCATAACTACTCCTCCGATTCTTAGTGTAATACCTAATCTAAGAGTTAATATTGGTTCTATATCTAAAACTTATTTCACATATTTATCAATTTTTTTTCAAATTAATCCATATTTTTTCTGCAATAATCAAATAAGAGAAGGAGAAAATTAAAGAAGATGATTGGATGTTTTAGAAAAAACATATCATATTAAATTATTTAATTAATATTTTTAATATACTCAAATTAATTAATTAAATTTTATATTAAAAATCGGAGAAGTAGCTTATATTAGAAAAAATTGAAATGAAGTGTCGGTGTTGCATGGAATGGTTAGGACACATGGTGACCTCGGAGCATGAACAGTGTTGGACTGATATTTGCACCTATTCTCGAGGATGCCCTTGGCTATATCAACATTGATGCATGTGTTCCGATCGACTGACACGTAGCATCTGAATATAGATAAGTACGTACTATTGATCTTTCGAGTGAATATCTGCTCCTAAATCATACAAGCCAATTATTATTTGAACACTGAGTTAACAGTATGACAACTTCAGAAAACTTGCACTCGGAGGGAAAAAAGTTGATATATATATATATATATAGAGAGAGAGAGAGAGAGAGAAATCAAGGTTGGCAAAAAAAATAGAAATTAAGAAAAAACAATGAAAAAGAAAGAAAAGAGACAATAATTATGATAATATAATAGTAAATTTTGAAAAAAAAAATCATATACGTATATGTTGTCTAAAATAATATGATATAGAAGTTTTTTTTTTTGGGCCTGAATGATATAGAAGTATTAACAGACTACCTTTTCTTTTTTAGGGATTAAACAAGGAGCACCCATGTATGGCAACACACAAACAAACAGTTTGAACCTGTCACCTCCCTATGGGGGGGGTTGGGTCTACTAAACCTTCGGGACTTTATTGTAAATTCCTGATTTCATCAGAACTTGCCAACTTGCCCTATATATTGTAATTTTTCCAATATAAAATTAGTAAGACTTCCTGTCAATTTATATTATGTATAAAGTATACTATCTTCCGTGTTTAATATAAAATCTAGTTTAATACTCCTGGTCCTTAATATAGGACTCAATTGGTGAGTTGGTTTTGATTCTAAATATAAGATCCATTTCTCATATTTATCAATTTTCTCTAAATTACCCCTATAGATACTCCCTCAATCATAATCAAATGTAGAAGAGGGAGAGGGGGTATTAAGAAAAATGATTATGGTGTTTTAGGAAAAACGTGTCACATTTTTTATAATTAACTAACTTACCTAACTTCCTTAATCTAATCAAATTAGTTAAATGGGTCTTATATTAAGGACCGGAGGAGTATTCAATTTGGTCCTAAATATAAGACCATAATTTATTTTGTCTTTCATATTTGTCTATTTTTTTTTAAAGTAGTCTTTGTAGTAGTTACATTTATTAAAAGCTTCATCTAATGGTAGTTTTAGTTAATACATATGATTAGTAAAAATATTTTAAAAAAATAATACTTATTTATCATAAATAACTAATTTAATTATTTTTTTAATTTATTTAAATTAGTTAACTAACTTTAACTTTACGAGAGGTATAAAATATTGAGTGTGCGGGCGCGTGTGCGAGGGAGAGAGAGAGAGAGATAGAGAGTTCACGAGGTGTATAGTACTATGTATGCCATTTTTTTTAATGAAATAGGAACGTGGGTAACGTTTGGTGGAATTAATAAATACTACTTTCAATTCTAATTATAACATCTCGTTTATAGACGTCTTATAATTAGAGGGAGGCAGTAATATATATACTGGTAGGATAATAATATTCATTGAACTGATGTCAAAAACAGTATCCTCATTTTCTATGGTATTATAGTTATAATTATATACTTCTCTCTCTGTGTTTTCCTCTTCGCTTTCTTTCGTTTTCCCACGTACCAAACAAATAGCAAAATGTAGTACTCTTGTGTGCAAATATTCTTCAGGTGCGAATCTGAAGAATTATCAGTGACGCGTGATTAATTATATATCTGAAACTGCCTTGCGCATGTTTGGAGGATTTTAGATTATCATGGTAAGCCCAGTTTCGTTAACCCTATTCATACTGATCTCCAGTCTTTTGCTTGCTTTCTGTGATGAAATATCATAGAAGGAAGAATCCAGAAGTTTGTTGTAGAAGGAAAGCAAGAAAATGATCTCTCAATACACACGCACATGCGCGCGCACGTGTGTGTATATATATATATATATATCTTATTTATGAGTCACTTTTCATCTAAACCAAAAAAAATTATTAAATTTCATTAACTCTACCTTAAAATTTATTAACTTTTTAACTTTAATCTTATTTAATATATATATTTTTCAAGAAAATAACAATCTATATAATAATAAATAAAAAGTAAAATAAGTACATTCATGCTAAAAATTTAAAGACATGATTTATAAGTAGAGTCAAAGAAAATTTTTATTTTCCATCTTATAAACAAAATTAGAGGAGAAAACACTCACTAAAAAATAACTTTGCATTTTGTGATTTGGTTTTTACCAAAAAAATCCACCAGCATAAAAAGCAGAGGTGCATGGTTGGAGCGATGGGGAAGAGCTTGCTATTAGGGGTAGTAACAGATCAGGCCAGGCCAAACATCATTCTTAACAAGCTAAACCTGTGGTGAGGCATGTAGGTCTGAGGCTGGCCTGCGGCCTGTGAAAGGACTTTTATTTGGCCTAGTCTTAGCCTGTAATCAAGCATGGCTTGGCTTGTAGTCTGTTAAGAAGCCTGTATTTTTAACAAATTTTAAAATACATATAAATTAATTTAAAATAACAATAACTCAACCCAAATTATCCAAAATACAGACAAAAAGTATGAAATAATCATGAATAAGAATAGCCGAATGGGAACAGCTTAAGTGACCTAGGTTAAATTTCAGCACTTGTGAATTTATAATTTTAACCCCAAAAATAATAGTAACGGTACAGGCAATGATTAAAGAACCGGACCGGACCGGACGGTCGGACCGGTTGAACCGTCACCCGGACTCGTTAACGGCTCGGTTTGGACAAAAAAACCGTTCACATAGTTGAGCCGGATTGGACCGGAGTTGAGCCGTTATTAAGCCGGAAACCGGAGTTGAACCGGAACGGTTTTCAGAAAACCGAACGGTTTTTTAGCTTGACTGAAAAATACTAAAAAATTTTAAAAAAATAGAAGAAAAATAAAAAAATTGATCCCCTTAAATATCCTAATATATTTTTAGACTAGTTATAACCATATAGTATTATTTCATTGAAAATTTCATATATTGTGATGTTAAAATCGTGAGTCGCTAGTCTTTTTGTTTCGATATTTGATCTATCTTTTAAAAAAATATTTTGATTTGAATGAATTGATAATTTGTAATATCATTAAATATTTTAAACATACATAAAATTAAATATATAAGGTTTTAGTCCATTTTCAATGATTTTATTATAATTTTAGATTATTTAAATGCATTTCTAAATTATTTAATAATTTGATATTTTTCATATATACTAATTATATGTATATAATATTTTTTAAAATTAATTATTGCGTCACCGGTCTGACCGAACGGTCCGACCGATCCGACCGATTGAACCATGACCCGTTGATCTTTTCGGTTCAACTTCCGGTCCGGCTTTTAAAATATTGGGTACAGGCCACTTGACAAGCCTGACAAGCTTATTATCAGGCATGGGGCTGGCTTGATAAGGCAAACAGGCCCTTTTACGGGCCTGAGCCTGCTCTTATATTTAAATAGGCAAAGCCAGGTCAGGCCATTTACAGGCCAGCCACAAACCCCTGATAGGCCGCCTAGTCTATTTCCACCTCTACTCGCCATATGGTGAAGACAAAGTCAAGACTTACTTATCAATTTGCTTCTGTCCTAAATATAAGATCTAGTTTGTAGTGTACTTTAAATATAAGATCTAGTTTGTAGTGTATTTTACAAAAGTACACTACAAACTATATCTTATATTTAAAAATATACTACAAACTAGATCTTATATTTAGGATTGGAGGTAGCAATACTATATATTATATTTAGGACTGAAAGTAATATCTCCCAAACATGTTAGCCCAGACGATTTTTTTTTCCTAGCATAGAATTGAAACACATTTTTATACATAAATATATTGATGTTAGGCTTGAGCCTCTAATCTCATTCAAACATAACAAGTTACTACTTCCGGTCTTAATTATGAGGTCTTATAATTAAAGTTGGAGATAGTATTACTGAAGCAACTTAACCCTGCTACGGAGGAATGTTGTCATTGCCTTGCGAAGACATTAA